CTACTGTTTATTTCAAGAAATTGAGAAAAAATAAAATAATAATCGAGTTGGATCATTATCTTAGCCCCCTTCGTCTCTGTCACATTAGTCTCTCTTTTAACCCAATTTCTTCTCAACCAACTTTTCTCATTAAGGATTCTCAACAATTTGAAATTTTTTCTTGAATAAGACAGTATTTAATGTTCTGTTAATGTTTCAATATAAGTAGGAACGGGTATATTCATCTTTTTTAGTTCTGCTGTTAATTTAGTAACAACAGTCTTAGACAAGCGTGTGATGTTATCAATGACATGGTTATTGTTAGAGTTTGCCTACAATATCATTCACTTAGTATATATTCATTACCACAATTAATATACACATTCATCGAGACTACTTACCACAGGTGGCGACATCTTATCAGCATATAACTTTCTAAACTTTTGAATAGCATTTAAACTTTCAGATAATCTATTAAATGTATTAAACAATGCAACAATCTCTCCTCTTTCAAATAAATCAGGATTTTCCTTATGGCTATTTATACAATTTGTTAGATTATTATCTATTAAAATCAGATATACATTTCTTCTATCTCTTACTTTAATGATTTATCTTCATAGGAAAATAAAACCTTTAATGCAGTTCCTAATCCAACAGTCTGGATTTTACCCCAAAGTCGGCACTTTTCACATCCAACGCAATCCATAATTTTAGATACATTTCTAAAATGATCTCGGAATTCAAGCTTCAGAGTCTAAGGTTTGTGGATCTTTAGTGGTTTATATCAAGATAAGAAGCTATTTATTTAACTTTACCTGAGCTTGGGGTCCTTTGAACATGGATCTCTCATCAAATGTAGAAGGACAAGAATCTGTGCTGCGTACTAAGCTCTGGACCATACCCTATAAAATACACATACCAGAATGTAAGTTTATACATAAATGTAACAGAGGAATAAACAAACCTTTATTATATTATCCTCTTCTTGACTACCAGTACGGAATTCATAATCCTCCAGATACAAACCTATTTTCTTAATAGAACGTAACACTAAAGCATATGTAAAGTATATATTCTGTAAGCGTTCAGGATGAGCACCAATACGATTCACAAAGCAATCCAAATTAGGTCCCTAAAGAAGCACATCAATAAAGCCATTTTACATATGCATGAAATATATGCCTTTTCATACCCAGACACCGGTTTCCTGATCAAACCATTCATCACAAATATGAATAGAAATAGAAGAATGAAGACCTGAAATCAATCGATAATAAACACGCTTTTCCAAACACACTTCCTCCTTATCGGACTCTTCTTGGAGGTCATTTAAATACTGATTCAACTCTCGTTGGGTATTTGGTACACTTGCAAATGGTTGTTGTTTTTCAGATACCCTCTTTTGCTCGTTATTACATGTTTCGCATCCTTCCGTCATATGATGTACAATATCAAAACAATTCTCTTCATAAATTGACTTCCAAACTCTTGCCGATGATGGTCCTGCATAACCTGTAAAGCGTTCGGGGTTTTCTAATAAATCGATATAAACAACACCTTTTATATACATGTTAATTCACTTGTGTCAATCCCAATCATGTAATTATAGTAACTTTACTATTTGAGTCCAGTTTATCATCAACCAAACAGAAGTCCTGATCTTTATATGAACATTGTGTAAATGGTTGAAATAGCTATAATAAATCGGAGTTCAAAATTAAAATTACATAATATATTAACAGGTGATATAGAAGATACTTTACTGCTCCCTTTGATGGTAACTGAATTGCACTCAATGCGTCTTTTCTCCATTCTACAGGTAAGAAGCTCTAATAATAATAATCAATAAACACTTTTCTTTCCTTCTCTCTTCCATTTACTTGTAAATACCTCATCAGTGGTTGCGACTGAACAATCACGATTTAAACATAATGCATTCTCATTCCAAAATGGACATTCTTTCCAAAGATCAGCCTATTATATATATATTACCCGGTTAAAAATAGAATAAAACAAGGAAAACTGTTTTCTTACCCGATAATGCCTGAAAAATCTAGTTTTTACTAATTCTTGTAGTTTACCAAAAACATCACCTTGGATACTTTCTATGCTCTGATAATCACAACAAGTGTCCTTTATTTGTCCATGAGGCTATATATATATATACATGCATTAATATATATAATGAATGTCCATTTT